GAGAACGAGCGCATCCCAATAACAGAATCACGCTTCAGGGAATAGATAATAAGAAACTTCTGAGTTAAAAGAACACGTTGTAGCCCAACGTAAAGAAACTAAGAACTTTGAAAAAAGGTTTGACGAAATCGTATTGAGAATAGACAACTTAGAGAGGAATATAAGTGAATTAATGGAACTGAAGAATACAATACAGGAACTCCGAGAAGTATGAACAGGTTTAAACACTCGAATTGTTCAAGTAGAAGAAAGGATATCAGAGGTCAAAGTCCAACTCAATGAAATAAAATGAGAAGACGAGATTAGAGAAAAAAGGATAAAAAGGAATGAGCAAAGTCTCCAAGAAATGTGGGACTATGTAAAAAGACCAAATTTACGTTTGATAGGTGTACCTGAATGCGATGGAGAGAATGAATCCAAGCTGGAAAATACCCTTCAGGATATTATTCAGGAAAATTTTCCTAAACTAGCAAAGCAGGACACTATTCAACCCCAGGTGATACAGAGAACACCACAAAGATATTCCTCAAGAAGAGCAACCCCAAGGCACATAATTGTTAGATTCACCAGGGTTGAAACAAAGGAGAAAATACTAAGGGCAGCCAGAGAGAAAGGTCAGGTTACCCACAAAGGCAAGCCTATCAGACTTACAGCAGATCTCTCAGCAGAAACCCTACAAGCCAGAAGAGAGTGGGGGCCAATATTCAACATCCTCAAAGAACAGAACCTTCAGCCCAGAATTTCATATCCAGCCAAACTAAGCTTCACAACTGAAGGAAAAATAAAATCTTTTATGAACAAGCAAGTACTCAGAGATTTTATTACCACCAGGCCTGCTTTACAAGTGCTTCTGAAAGAAGCATTACACACAGAAAGAAACAACCAGTATTAGCCTTTCTAAAAATATACCAAAAAGTAAAGAGCACCAACATAAAGAAGAATTTACATCAACGAAAGGATAAAACAGCCAGTTAACATCCAATGGCAGTAACCCTAAATTTAAAGCGACTAAATCCCCCAATCAAAAGACACAGCCAAAACCCAATGGCAGGTTACATCCAGACCTGTTTCACAGGCAAGGATACACAAAGACTCAAAACAAAGGGATGGAGAAAGATTCACCAATCAAATGGAGAGCAAAAATAAATAAATAAAAAGCAGGAGTTGCAATTCTCGTATCGGATAAAATAGATTTTAAAGCAACAAAGATATAGTGGTAAAAGGATCAATGCAACAACAAGAGCTAACGATCCTAACACCCAGATACATAGAGACTTAGATTCAATGAGACAGAAAATTAATAAGGATATCAAGGACTCGAACTCAGATCCGGAACAAGTAAACTGAATAAATATTTATAGAGCTCTCCACTTTAAATACACAAAATATACATTCTTGTCAATACCACATCACACGTACTCATAGGTTTAAATGAAACATTCATTGGCCATTATTAATACCCATATTTTTTTCAGAATAAAGCAATAGTTCCGTTCATCCTCCCTCTTTCTCTTCCTCTTTCTTCCTCTCCTTTACTCATTTTTTTTTTCTTTCCTTCTCTCAAAAAAATAAATCAACTTGTAAACCTCTAGGTCGGCAATGCCTCTCTCATTGCTTGATTTCCTTCCTTCCCTTCCCTCCCTCCCTCCCCCCCTTTCCTCCCTTCTTTGCTTCCTTCATCCCTTCCTTCCTCCCTCCCTTCCTCCTTCCCTCCCTTCCTGCCTTCTTCCAAAAAAAAAAAAAATACAAAAATTAGCTGGGCATGATGGTGCACGCCTGTAGTCCCAGCTACTTGGGAGGCTGAGGGAGAAGAATTGCCTGAACCCAGGAGGTGGAGGTTGCGGTGAGCTGAGATCGTGCCATTGCACTCCAGTCTGGGTAACAACAGGGAAACTCCATCTCAAAAAAAAAAAATGATTTCAAAATAAGTATAGCATCTGATTTTTAAAGATGTATAGTACAGGCATTTCTGTGTTATAGATGCACAGAGAAATGCCTAGGTCAATGCCAAATTTTAGGAAGTATCTCGGGTTGGTGAAATTAAGGGTTTGTTTTCGTTTTAAGAGATGGAGTCTCCTTTTTTAGTGCCATCTGCTTGTGGTGCCACCTCCTGCTCCTCCCACCGCCACTGCCACCCTGAGTCACTGCCTGTGCAGCTCTGGCCACCTGGCTCCCCATACTAGCCACCAATATTTGGAGTTCTTACAACATGGCAGACACTGACAACCTGCCTATGGTAGTTAAAAGACAAGTGAATGCTCTCAACAACCTGCAAGTTAAATGTGCACAGACAGAAGCCAAATTCTAGGAGGAAGTTCAAGATCTTGAAAGGAAGTATGCTGTTCTCTATCAGCCTCTATTTAATAAGCAATTTGAGATTATTAATGCAATTTATGAACCTATGGAGGAAGAATGTGAACAGAAATCAGATGATGAGATTTTGGAGGAGATGAAAGAAAAGGCCAAAATTAAAGATGAGAAAAACGATGAAGAAAAAGAAGATCCCAGAGATCGATCCAAGATGGCCGACCACTAACAGCTCAGGATTATAGCTCCCAGTGAAAGCCCAGAGAACGAGACGACGCCACACTTTTAGACGAATTTTCGTCACTCACCGATCAGCCGATTCCCAAGTGGAGGAGCCCCACAGGTCGCCAGTGCGACTCTTGTGGCCGCCACAGCGGTTTTGCCGGCGCCTCGGCACAGCAGCTCTTCATGCAGAGCAAACAGGACTGCTACCCCTACTGACTGGAGTTTGGAGCTCCGGGAAGTCAGAGCCGCTTGTTGCGGACTCAAGAGGGAAGCCAGACCAGAGATTCCCGGGAAGAAGAGCACCATCAGTTTTATCGCTGCTATTTAGGCTGCCACAGTGGGTTGCTCGGATCCCAGCACTGGGAATCAGTAAGTCAGACGTCGACTCAGAAACCTAATTAGAAAAGCGGTTCATCTACAATGAAGGGAAAAAAACAGCCTAAGAAGGCCGAGTATACTCAAAATCAGAACCCATCAGCAACGGAACAAGCCCTGTTGGAAAAGGACTCATCAGCAACAGAACAAGCCCTGATGGAAAAGGACTCATCAGCAACCGAACAAGCCCTGATGGAAAAGGACTCATCAGCAACCGAACAAGCCCTGATGGAAAAGGACTCATCAGTAACGGAACAAGCCCTGATGGTAAAGGACTGTGTTCCATTATCTGAAGTAGGCTTTAAAAGGTGGATGATAAGAAACTTCTGGGAGTTAAAAGAACTTGTTCTAACCCAATGTAAAGAAACTAAGAACTTGGAAAAAAGGTTAGATGAAATATTGAAAAGAATAGACAATATAGAGAGGAATACAAATGAACTTATGGAGTTGAAAAATACAACACGAGAACTTAGTGAAATATGTACAGGCTTAAACAGCCGAATGGATCAAGCAGAAGAAAGGGTATCAGAGGTAGAAGATCAACTTAATGAAACAAAACGACAAGACAAGAATAGAGAAAAAAGGATAAAAAGGAATGAGCCAAGTCTTCAAGAAATATGGGACTATGTGAAAAGACCTAATATACACTTGATTGGTGTACCTGAATGTGACGGAGAGAATGAATTCAAGCTGGAAAATACTCTCCAGGACATTATCCAGGAAAATTTTCCTAATTTAGCAAAGCAGGACACTATTCAACCCTAGGCAATACAGAGAACACCACAAAGATATTCCTCAAGAAGACCAACCCCAAGGCACATAATCGTTAGATTCACCAAGATCGAAACGAAGGAGAAAATATTAAGGGCAGCCAGAGAGAAAGATCAAGTTACCCATAAAGGTAAGCCTATTAGGCTTACAGCAGATCTCTCAACGGAAACCCTACAAGCTAGAAGAGAGTGGGGGCCAATATTCAATATACTTAATCAACAGAACTTTCAGCCCAGAATTTCATATCCTGCCAATTGAAGCTTTACATTTGAAGGAAAAATAAAATCTTTTAGGAACAAGCAAGTACTCAGAGATTTTATTACCACCAGGCCTGCTTTACAAGAACTTCTAAAAGAAGCATTATACACAGAAAGGAACAACCAGTATGACCCTTTCTAAAAATACACCAAAAAGTAAAGAGCATTAACATAAAGAAGAATTTTTATCAACGAAAGGACAAAATAGCCAGTTAATATCAAACGGCAGCAACCCTAAATTTAAATCGACCAAATCTCCCAATCAAAAGATACAGACAAAATCTAACGGTATATCTAAAGATATACATAGACTCAAAATAAAGGGTTGGAAAAAAAAAAAGTACCAACCAAATGGAGAGCAAAAATAAATAAATAAAAAGCAGGAGTTGCAATTTTCACATTTGACAAAATAGATTTCAAAGCTACAAGGATACAAGGGTAAAAGGATTAATGTAATAATAAGAGATCTTAACACCCAGATACATAAGACCCATAATGAGATTTAGATTCAACGAGACAGAAAATTAATAACGATATCCGGGACTGGAACTAAGATCCAGAACAAATAAACTCAATAGAGCTCTCCATTTTAAACACACAAAATATACATTATCCACAAAATCTAACGATATATCTAAAGATATACAAAGACTCAAAACAAGGGGATGGAAAAAAACGTACCAACGAAATGGAGAGCAAAAATAAATAAATAAAAAGCAGGAGTTGCAATTCTCACACTTAATAGATTTCAAAGCTACAAGGATGCAAGGGTAATAGGATTAATGCAACAATAAGAGATCTTAACACCCAGATACATAAGACACATAATGAGATTTAGATTCAACGAGACAACAAATTGATAACGATATCCAGGACTTGAACTCAGAGCCGGAACAAATAAACACAATAGAGGTCTCCATTTTAAACACATAAAATATGCATTAACCCCTTTAAACACTCAAAATATTGATCGGCCATTATTGAAACCCATTTTAGGAATGAAGTAATATTCCTTTCTCCCTCTTTTTCTTTTTTTCCCCTTCTTTTTCTCTTTTTCTCTTTTTCCCTCAAAAAAAAAAAAGAAAAGAAAAGAAAAAGAAGATCCCAAAGGAATTCCTGAATTTTGGTTAACTGTTTTTAAGAATGTTGACTTGCTCAGTGATATGGTTCAGGAACATGACAAACCTATTCTGAAGCACTTGAAAGATAGTAAAGTGAAGGTCTCCGAAGCTGGCCAGCCTATGAGTTTTGTCTTAGAATTTCATTTTGAGCCCAATGAGTATTTTACAAATGGAGTACTGACAAAGACATATAGTATGAGGTCAGAGCAGATGATTCTGATCCCTTTTCTTTTGATGGGCCAGAAATTATGGGCTGTGCAGGGTTCCAGATAGATTGGAAAAAAGGAAAGAATGTCACTTTGAAAACTATTAAGAAGCAACAGAAACACAAGGGACATGGGACAGTTCATACTGTGATTAAAGTTTCCAATGACTCTTTAATTTTTTTTTTTTTTTTGCCCCTCCTGAAGTTCGTGAGAGTGGAGATCTGGATGATGATGCTGAAGCTATCCTTGCTGCAGTCTTTGAAATTGGTCACTTTTTACATGAGCGTATAATCCCAAGATCAGTGTTATACTTTACTAGAGAAGCTACTGAAGATGATGATGATGATGATGACGACGACGATGAAGGTGAAAAAGCAGATGAGAAAGGGGAAGAAGGAGATGAAGAAAATGATCCAGACTCTGACCCGAAGAAGGATCAAAATGCAGCAGAGTGCAAACAGCAGTGAAGCAAGAAGTGTGCGGCCTTGAGGATAACCTGCACTGTACTAGCCAAAACACAACTCTTATTTACTTACAGCCTTTTGTATTTTCTTGGTAGATGAGGTAATTTTATTTTAAAGACAGGAAACTGATATTTTAAAGACCAATTTGTTCTAATTAGCATTTTAACTAGTTTTTCTGCCAAATATGTTGAATGCACAAATTCTGTAACACATGTTCATTCATCCCTGCATAATTTGGTTCTTCTGGAATATTTTTATGTAGCTCTTAGAGTACAGCTATGAAAATGTCAAGTGTTAAAGGAAACCTTTTTTTTTTTTTTCTTCATAATTTTTTCCCTGAAGAACCAAAGTATTTTTTCAGCTGGTTGTTGAATACGATTAAATCCACTTGGATTAGCTGTGCCTTTCATTACTCTGTTACAGAAACACAGTGACTTATATAAGACAATTCATCGTTTTAAAAGAACTGGTAAGATAACTATATGGTTAAGAATTTCCAGTATGAACACACCCAGTAACTGTATTAGATTGTTAATGGATTACTGTGTTATAAGTGACATAGTTAACTGTAAAGTAACCTGACTCAGTATAGTTACTGGTACCACAGTGAGGTGAATGAAACAGGATTTTCAGAAGTTAGCCTGAATTAAACTGTACTTTTAAATTTCACCTCCATTAACTAAGCATCTTTTCTTTGTGGCAATGTCTACCTTCTGCTTTCCCGGAAAGGAAGAATTTATATCATCTGACAAGCCTATTTTCAAGTTATTCATTGTTTGCTTGTTTTTGGTTTTGCAGCCTAAAATAAAAATTTCAAATACAATTTTAGTTCTTACAAGATATAGTGTCTTAATTTTGTACCAATTCAGGTAGAAGCAGAGACCTAGCTTGAATTAAGAATCATACTCAGTTTTTACCATATTATTGAAGAAAAAAAAAAAAAAAAAGCTTTGGAAAGAGATACTATACTAATAAGTATATACTAATAAGCAAGTGTAAAAAAAAAAAAAAAGAAAATCTTAAGTGATTCTTTAAAAAAAAAAAAATTAAGTTCATTTTCTTTGGGTTAGAGCTAGAGAGAAGGCTCCAAACTTCTGTGGTTTCTTCTAATTCTTTTTTTTTTTTTTTTTTTGAGACGGAGTCTTACTCTGTCGCCAGGCTGGAGTGCAGTGGCGCAATCTTGGCTCACTGCAACCTCCACCTGGGTTCAATAGATTCTTCCGCCTCAGCTTTCCGAGTAAATGGGACTACAGGCGCGTGCTACCACGCCCGGCTATTTTTTGTATTTTTAGTAGTGACGGGGTTTCACCATGGCCAGGATGGTCTCAATCTCTTGACCTCGTGATCCGCCCACCTCAGCCTCCCAAAGTGCTGGGATTACAGACGTGAGCCACCGCGCCCGGCCTTTCTTCTAATTCTTATTGCTTAAATTATGAGTATGTCACTTACCCATGCTTCTGTTTACTATGTATTAAAATGGGTAGTACTGTTTACTTAACTACCTCATGGATGAGTTAAGGCATATTGAGTTAAATCTCATAAAACGTTTCTCACTCTCACTAAAAGTTCAAGATTTGGGGCCTAATTGCAGTGTGACACTCAGCATTTTGTTCCCAGCACACTTTGATAACTAAACTGAAAAACAAAGATTAAGCACCTCAGCTCTGGATCTGGGCAGGCAGCACTCTTTCAGATCTTCGTGTGGCTCCTATTTTTATGGAAGGGAATGGATGCACTATTTCACAAGGTCCAAGAATTTTTTTCAGGTATTTTCGATGGTTGTATTGTAGTAAATACTACAGGGATTGCACTACAGTATTGTAGTCATGAGACTAAAGTGGAAGTAAGACTTTCTGACAAAAGATGCCATTAAATTTCAGACTGTACAGCCACAGTTACAATACCTCAGGCTAATTACTGTTAATTTGGGGATTGAACTTTTTTTTTGACAACGAGGGTGGATATTGGATTGTTATTAGAGAAAGGTCTAGATTTCTTACTCTTAATAAAATTACACTGAATTCGTTTTTAGAGGTGATGAAAACTTCCTATTTGAGAAGTTAGTGTTAAAGTCTTAGAATGCGAGCACATTGTAGTGCTATCCATTCCTCTCCTGAGATTTCAACTTACTACTGAAAATCCTTAACCAATTATAACAGCTTTTTTCTCTTTATTTTTAAAATGATTTCCTTTGCTGTGATTAGACACTTTGTGCTTTTTATCTTTTTTTGTAACCAAAGTTTATTTAATGCAGCTTTTTCTGAACTTTAAAGAATCCTATTTTTAGTATCACAGTCTTTTTTTTTTTTTTTGAGACTGTCTCACTTTGTTGCCAGGCTGGAGTGCAGTGGCGTGATCTTGGCTCACTGCAACCTCCACCTCCCAGGTTCAAGCAATTCTCCTACCTCAGCCTCCCAAGCAGCTCGGATTACAGGCACATGCCACCATGACCAGCTAATTTTTGTATTTTAGTAGAGACAGGGTTTCTCTATGTTGGCCAGGATGGTCTCAATCTCTTGACCTCGTGATCCGCCCACCCGGGCCTCCCAAAGTGCTGGGATTACAGGTGTAAGCCACTGAGCCCAGCCCATCTTTTTTTATTATTTTAGGAAATAGCTATTGCCAAAGTGAAGGTGTAGATAATACCTAGTCTTGTTATATAATGGGGATGTGGTTTGCAGAAGAATTTTCTTTATAAAATTGAAGTTTCAAGGGATATCAGTGTTTATGCCATTTTTCCAGTTCCAAAATGATTCCATTCCATTCTAGAAATTTGAAGTATGTAACTTAAAATCTTCAATGTGAGAGAGAGAGGGAGAGAAAGGGGGGGAGAGAGGGAGAGAGAGAAAGGGAGGGGGGAGAGAGAGAGAGAGAGAGAAAGGGAGGAGAGAGAGGGAGGAGAGAGAGAAAGGGAGGGGAGAGAGAGAGAGAGAAAGGGAGGGGGGAGAGAGAGAGAAAGGGAGGGGAGAGAGGGAGGAGAGAGAGAGAGAGAGATAGTGTCTCAATATGTTGCCCAGGCTGGTCCCATTCGAACTACTACTGGGCTCAAAGGATTCTCCTACCTCAGCCTCCTGGGTAACTGGGACTACAGGGGCACACCACCACATAATTTTGTTTTTATGTTTTATCTTTACTTATCTGCATTTTATGATTTCTTAAAAACAATTATACTGTATTAAAGAAACAAACACTTTAAGAGCTAAATTAAGAAATATTTTTAAATACTTATTAAAATAATTTTTAAAATACCTGAAAATTTTTACTTAGCTTTACATTGTTTGCAAAACATGTTCACACAATGAGACATCATCCTATTACCTCTACAAAATTACATTTCTGTTTTATAGATAACAAATCTCAATCAGATAATCTGAGTTAAAGTCATCTTAACAAAAAGAAAAGTGGCCTAGCAATCTGGGTAACCAAATCTACAGAAAAATGTCATACTTACAGCTCCGAAGTTTCAATATATTTTGCAGTTCCTTCAATAGTGTTACAATATTCTGTGGCAAATTTGGTAATAAGCTGGAGTAAAGTAGCACTTTTATCATCCACAGGTTCACCGTAGCTATTTAGAAGAGACTGATACTGAGCAGCTAGAACATTTATTCTTGTTTTCAACTCTGGTAAGCAATCTCTGATGTGATGCATCAGTAACCTAAAAAAGGTCAGAAAGGAAGGATTTAAAAGTAAAACTGTATATTCTGAAGCTCCAAATAAGTCAAATTTTTAAAAAGGAAGTAATGGGGAAAAACTGTCACATAATTTGTACTGGCAAGTATGATACTGTGAAATATGTATTTGGTCTTTGTCTCCATTTCCTGGCAGTTGGATCCTAAAATCTTTGGAGTCTCCAAGAGCCTAAGCATGTTTAAAGTGTCTTTGCATGATAATAAGATGACTGTTGGCTGGGGGTCCCTTGACAGCTTCAGGATGAGGGCCTAGTCACCAGAAAGGCTAAGGCATGATTAGAGGGCTGGGGCTTTTGGCCCCATTCTCCAGCCTCAGAAGAGGGGAGAGAGGCCACAGATTGAGCCGAATCACCAATGGACAATGATGCTTCCATAAAAACTCAAAACGACACAGTTCATGCAGTCTTCAGAGAGTTGAACACATGAAGATTCCTGGAATGTGGAGGGCACAGAAACCTCCACATTTCTTCCTACATGCCCAACCCTGTGCATCTCTTCATCTGGCTGTTTATCTATATCTTTTGTAATATGCTTTATAATAAGTGGGTAAACGTTAAGTAGTTGTTTCCTTGACTTATGTAAGCTACTCAACAAATTAATCAAACATGAAAAGGGGGTCATGGGTACCCTGACTTACAGCCCATCAGTCAAAAACAGGCTAAAACCTGGCTTAAAACTGCCATCTAACTTCGGGGCAGTCTTGTGGGACTGACCCCTCAACCTGTGGGAGCTGATGCTATCTCCAGGTAAATAAGTGTTAGCACTGAATTAAAGGACATCCCATTAGAATCCCCTAGAGAATTCCTTGCTTGCTGTATGGGGAAAACTCCCCATGTATCTGATGTTAGAAGCATTCTGTGCCATACTGATTAAGTGTATATGAATGGGAAAAAAGCACTTTGGTTTATCCTAAATCATAAAAGCAAGGAAAAAAATGCAAATTATTTTCATATTACTGCAATTACCATAGAGAAAGTAAATCACTCAATCAATTCTTCCTATATAATTTTGGTTTCACTGACTTGTCATTTACAATTGGTACCCAGCAAAGTGAAAATTAATCTTATTAAGATCCAGGTCTATCAGTCTTCAGGGAAGATAAAAGTAAGAGAAAATGGCTTCTACTTCAGTCATTTATAAATCATCTAGAAAGGTCTTCTAGTCCCCCCACCATGAGTGGGTATTCAGAATCCAATGTATACAACTTAATTTATTTCTACAATAAGTAGGAAAAAAAGATACTCTATTTCTTTCTTTGTTTTTCCATCTCCCTTTTCTGGTAAATAGAAGATATTCTAAATTAAGAACAGATAACATGAAAATTATAAATTTTAATGCAGTTCCTGCAATGCAAAGTGGAAGTGAAGTCATCTCCAGTTCTGTCCTCAAAACTCAACTGACTCTCAAATTTTCATAATTAAATCATTTCAAAATCACTTGAACATTCATTCTAAACTACATGATGACATAATGTCAACCACCCCAATAAAAATAGAGACATCTATTCTTCAGGAACCTACTATATAAGAAACCATAAGGGAAGCTGTTAGACAACAGTATCAAAATGTAAGGAACTGAAAAGGAACCCTCTCAGACATCGACTGGTCAAACAAACAAATCTCATTTCCAAAAGGTAAAAAAAATTACCTGTTTAGAGTCCTAGCAAGATATTTTGTTCCATTTCTATTGGCCAGAGATGGATATTTCTTTTGAAGAAAAGCATACTCATCACGGATTGAATCAGTTACACTCTTCTTGTTGTTAATATCTAGCTGGCTCCTGAGGTTGAAACAGTAACAAAATGGTTCAACTTCACAGTTGTCCTCTTCCTACCTTAGATGATGACAGGGCCAGGCATTGTTCTTTAATACCTGACATGGACTGGTTTATTTAATTCTCATAATTTTATGTGACAGGTATTATTATCCCATTGTTTAGTAAGGAACTGAGGCTCACAGAGACTAACTTATCCAAGGTCATACGCTAACTGGCATAGTCAAAACTTGAACTATTTGAATTATAACTAGTGACTAAATAGTGTAGGCCTCATTATTACCATTAACTATAGACAAAAACAATAAGTAACACGTACAGACAGGTATAAAAATGTAAAGAATATCTCAGTGACCTG